TTTTAGTAGAGACGGGGTTTCACCATGTTGACCAGGATGGTCTCGATCTCTTGACCTCGTGATCCACCCGCCTTGGCCTCCCAAAGTGCTGGGATTACAGGAGTGAGCCACTGCGCCCGGCCTACTATTATTTTTAGATAAATGCAAAACATCTTACAGCTTAAGTTTATCTATGTATGTCTCACAAAGGCTTAGAAAAATTCTAAGAGGTCTGAGGTTTTCCTAAATCATTGGAACTCACAATTGGAAATGACTGTAAAGTTATTTTGACCAGTTTCCTGATCTCTAGGTGAGCCATCTGGAGTCCCAAAAGCACCCAAGACATATCCTGCTCTACAGCAGCGGTTATCAACCACGGGCAATTTTGCCTCCCACCCCAGGGAACATTTGACAATGTCTGTTAATATTTTTGGCTGTCACAACTGATGGGGGAAAATGCTACTAATGTCTAGTGGGTAGAGGTCAGAGACACAGCTAAGCAACCTATAATGTATAAGACAGCCCCCATCACAAAGCAGTATAGAGCCCAAAATATCAACAGTGACAGGTTGGGAAATCCAGCTCTACCTCAACACAATTTAGAGAAAAATGAGCTGAAATGAAAAATAAAATGAAATAAGCCTCCTTATTTTCATAGATCCCCTAGAAATGATAAGATATTTCATTAGCTGAAGACCATTAACATAATATCTCTCTTTGGTTCTTAAATATGTACCTAAATCTATGTGTCAAGAGATTAAGTCTCATATCTTTGACTTTTAAAAAAATCTGTAAGATAGCTTTTAAATTTGTTTTCTAAATTCCTCTTGTTAGACAAGTAAATTTCTACAAAAAGGTAATATTTATCAGGAAAGGCTAGGCTAGACTGCTTCTTAGGATAATGTCCAGCCTTATGTCCTCTTGGAAGAACATGACTCTGTTTTCTCCAAATAATGACAGCCAAAATCTTCTATAAAACACTACTTATGCTCATATTAAAACCAAACTGCCTTGGTTTGAACTCCAGTTCTGTCATTTGTTAGGTAGGTGAACTCAGGAAAATGACCTGTCCTCCTATGCCTTGGTTTCTTTGTCTATGAATACAGATAATAACAGCGCCTACTTTGAAGGTCAGCTGCAGGGATCAAATGGGTTAATAAGTGTAAAGTTCCTAGAGCAGCATCTGGAATATAGTTTGAAATCAACTGATATCAGGGTAAAAAATCCAGTTGTCTTTCCCCAATTTATATAGTCCCCAGTTAGAATTTTCACAATACCTATAGAGCTATTAGTTATCATAATTTGTTTGCATTCTATATTTACCCACATCAACCAAAAAGTATGAAATAATCTTGGAGCCTCAAATACCATTTATTTTTCTCAAGTGAACAATAATTCATTAATTACTCTAAAAGATCCTCATGCTAGCTGTTTACAACTATAATTAAAGCATGGTGTATAGAACTTTACCACAAGTTGCAGCAATGCAGCATAAAACAGGGTCTAGGTTTTCTCAAGTTAGAGTAAATAATACCACCTGTTTTCCTCTTGAGTCTATCACTGCCATTGGAGAAGATTTTAATAAGACATTTTTCTTTTAAAAATCATTTATGTCTCAGGTGTATATATTTCTATATTAAATTTTGAATCTCATTTTGTATTTTATGAGATAAAATATCAAGGTTATAAGTCTATGATTTGAATAAATACTTAAAAATCCATCCAATAAACTTATTACCATGACAGCATATATGTAATAAGACTGCAACCTGTATAAATGATCAAGAGCTGATTGTCATATTTAACATACCTTGATCTCATTTTCAAATGGTTTGATGAAAGGTGAGCCTCTCATTGTCTGAGTTTTTATAATTTGATCATCAAGGAGAGCCTGAATCTCATCCACTGAAGAAAGAATACAGACTCCAGTGTCACGATAAAGACTTATATGAAAAGCAATATCATCCCAAGTTCCCATCATTGTAAGCATGGCTTTCTCTAATGAAAATTCCTAAAAGGTAGGAATGAAGAAACAATGGGATGGTGACGAAAGGCTCTTATTTACTATATTGACTTTGCCTGGTGAATTCAGCAAGCATTTGATGCATTACATTATCACTTCCTTAAGATAACGTCACTTCAGTATAACTTTTTAAGTTAGAAAGGTTTTTTTTTCAACATTTTCAAAATGACTAAGAAAAGCAATTATGTAGTTTTTAAAGATTCACTTGCTATGAAAACTACTGCTGTCATTACCAAAAATGGACAAGAGAGGCTGGGCATGGTGGCTGACACCTGTAATCTCAGCACTTTGGAAGGCCGAGGTGGGCAGATCACAGGGTCAGGAAATACAAAAAATTAGCTGGGCCTGGTAACACACGCCTGTAATCCCAGTTACTCAGGAGGCTGAGTCAGGAGAATTGTTTGAACCCAGGAGGCAGAGATGGCAGTGAGCCGAGATCGTGCCACTGTACTACAGTCTGAGCACCAGTGTGAGACTCCGTCTAAAAAAATAATGGACAAGAGAATAAAATGCCTGGAGGACTTTCTTCGAAGTGGCCCTTCTACAGGCAGCCCATAGTCTGAAGATGTTTTCTGTGTACTTCAAGAACCCATTCTTTAGGGCCCTACTTACCCTGCTAGAACACACACATATCACATGCCACACACACATCAGTACTCTCAATGAAAAAATTATGTACCAACACTAGCACATCATCCAACTACATCAGAATGTGGCAGAATTAAGAGGATGTCAAAGGAGTCATTTCTTATTTGGATTCAGGACAAGTAAGTACACACTTCGTGTGGGGGTGGGAAGAGTGTTTTTTTTGTTTTGTTTTGTTTTGTTTTGAGATGGAATTTCGCTCTTGTCACCCAGGCTGGAGTGCAGTGGTGCGATCTCAGCTCACTACAAACTCTGCCTCCCAGGTTCAAGCAATTCTCCTGCCTTAGCCTCCTGGGTAGCTGGGATTACAGGTGTCCACTGCCATGCCCAGCTAATTTTTGTATTTTTAGTAGAGACGGAGTTTCACCATGTTGGCCAGGCTGGTCCCAAACTCCTAACCTCAGGTGATCCCCCTGACTCAGCCTTCCACAGTGCTGGGATCGCAGGTGTGAGCCACCACTCCCAGCCAGATAGTGGTCTTCCATCACTCTCCCCCACCACCTCCCACTGCTATCCAGTACTGTACACATTCAACCACAACAAAAACTATGATTACTTGATTAACAAACTCATCACGTAAAGTATTTCGGTGGATCTTTATGTTTACCTTGCTTGCACCTGCACTTATCACTTCGAATTGTTCCAAGTATGGGGTAAGGTTTAATTTTAAAACTTTTCTCAGTGTAGTACCAGAGTCTGGAGTCAAGTCATAGCCTACAATATCTGACATCTGTTTCCAATGACGAGGTCTCATTCCTGGATTGCACAGAATGGAGACAGTAGGAATATATTCCTAATGGCAAAAATATAAACAATAATGAGTCACTCATTTGACTTCCACACAGATAGATTCCGTAGATGAAGCCTTGATAGTATAAGGATTACATTTCTTCAAATTATTTAATACATTTCTATCGGTACAATCAAAACCTCAATTAGATTTGGAAGGAGAGAGATGCTAACAAAATTAATCCAAGGTTCACCTGCAAAAATAAGCATGTAAAAATAGCCAGGAAAATTATAAGAGTACAGGGAAGAAGGAAGGGCCAGACACAATGGTTCATGCCTGCAATCCCAGCGCTTGGGGAGGTTGGCGTGAAAGGACCTCTTGAGCCCAGGAATTTGAGGTTACAGTGAGCTACGATTGCAATACTGTACTCCAGCTTGGGTGACAGAGTGAGGCCTTGTCTCTACTTTAAAAAAAAAAAAAAAGGAAGAATGAGGGGTAATTATTCTATAAGATATTAAAGTATATGATAAAACTGTGGTATGATATACTTGCAGAAAAATATACTATAACATATAGTTATAAATACATACACATAGCATGAATGGGGAAAGTATATGTGCCAAAATCCCAAAATGTAACAATGTTTTATCTCTGCTGAGTGGCACCTGCCTTGGCCTCCCAAAGAGCTGGGATTACAGATACGAGTCACCATGCCTGGCCCCCTCTTTTATTTTTTCATGAGTCATGTTTAACTTTGTATAAGTAATAACTTAATATTACAAGTTTTTTTTAATTGGAGGACCACAAACTAGCACACTTTTCATTTTGCTTAGTTAAGGGCTCTGTTTTAACCTCCTGTTGGTTATTACCATCATGTTTTTGCTTATCACATATTCCCTAGAATTCATCAGAACATACTATCATAGGCACTCAGTATTTTTTAAATAAATGAAGTTTTAACATCTAAAAAGTAGGAAGACCATACTCTTTATTTACTTATTTATTTAGACAGAGTTTCACTCTGTCTCCCAGGCTGGAGTACACTGACTCGATCTTGGCTCGCTGCAACCTCCACCTTCCGGATTCAAGAGATTCTCCAGCCTCAGCCTCCCGAGTAGCTAGGATTACAGCCTGCTGAGTAGCTGGGCCACACAAAAGTGAAAAAACTCCAAGCAGAGGAGCAGACAGTAAGAGAATCGAACTTCCACATCTGCAATGCCCCTCCTCCATTCTGTCTGGTAGCAAGTGGGCAGAAAATTTCCCCCCAGCTCACTGTTTCTACCCTGATAAGAGTAAGGTCAAAGTGGACAACCAGCTACCCCACCACCCTGGGTCCCTAGCAGGAGACCCGTCCCTGCCTTAACCCACAGGAAGCATTCCCAGTGCCTGAGGGGATAAATAATTCCTGAGGACAGAGACAAAGGGAGGAGGTGGGACTACCCTCCCCAGCCCCGGAAACTCTATAATCCACAGGGGATGCCAAATTAGAGTGGCTATTCTGCAGCAGCACACTATAGGAGGTTTGTCCCACAGGTCCCCTGGGCACAAACTCCTAGACAGCTTCCCATACTGCCAGAATATACCCTTTGGGGCCGTCTCCATTCATGAAAGGCAGTGCCTCCCATTGGGTACTAGAGCCAAGACAAACCTGGGCTTAAGGTGCCACCTGGAGCTGAAAAGGCAGCAGTGACCTAGCGCTAAAGAAACTCTAAGCAAATATATCCAATATAAACCAAAGCAAGCTAGCCAATGAACACTAGAATAAATAATACTTCAATGCAAAGACACAGATGTATATCCAGCAAAAACAACAGCAAACCAGGAACCATGATCTCCACAAACAGACAAAGTGCAGGAGACAGGGATAGGTGAGCCCTCTAACCAACAATAAACAGCTAAATTCCTAACTAGACTGCTTAACAAAAAAAAGAGAAAGAAAATTAAAAGAACCAATATTTAGAATTTAAAAGGAGCTAGCACTGTAGATTCTACAGACATTTAGAAGATAATAAAGAAATGTTATTAGCAACTTTATGGCAACAAAATCAATGACTAAGAAGAAATGGACCAATTCCTTAAAAAATACCATCTACCAAAATTAAACAGAAAATCTGAATAGCCTTATATCTATTAAAGAAATGCTCTTTTCCTTCACATAGAGGGGAAATTGGTACAGAACTTGCTTCAGCCAGTGTAATATGGGTGGACATGAAGTATGTCACAACTGAGTGGAAGCTCTAAACTCAGGTGCATGGTTTAGCTCAGCCCTTGCTCTTTCTCTCTAACGCTAGATTGGCTCACGTTAGCTCAAGGAATAGCCTGTGTCCTGGAACTCAGGAGCAGAACAGGACTGCAACTTGGAACAGAGACTCAGCTAACCTGTGGTCCTTATAGACTATGAAGAAGAAATCAGTACTTGAGAAATATAGAGAGAGAGTCTGTTTTCAAAACCTTTCCTACAAACAAAACTTCAGGCTAAATGGTTTCACTAGTGAATGTTTTCTAAAATAAGAAAGAAATAATACCAATTTATAAAAAACTTTTCAGAAAATAGAGAAAATAAAACTTCCTAATTTGTTTTACAAAGCCAACATAACTCTGATACCAAAATCTGACAAAGACATTACAAGAAAAGAAAACTAAGACCAAAATCCTTCCTGAACATAACCTCAAATATCCTGAATAAAATATGAACAAATAACAAACCATAAAAGCATTAGAAAAAATAATTTGGCATGGGGAAGGCATTTTAAACTACAGTTCAGAACCCAAGTGCCATAAAGGAAAAGAATAAAAATAGGGCCAGGCTCAGTGGCTCAAGCCTGTAATCCCAGCACTTTGGGAGGCCGAAGTGGGTGGATCACGAGGTCAAGAGATCGAGACCATCCTGGTCAACATGGTGAAGCCCCATCTCTACTAAAAATACAAAAAAAAATTAGCTGGGCATGGTGGCACGTGCCTGTAATCCCAACTACTCAGGAGGCTGAGGCAGGAGAATTGCCTGAACCCAGGAGACGGAGGTTGCGGTGAGCCGAGATCGCGCCATTGC